GCCGATCCATGATCCTCCTGTTCCCAGCGTCCCTGGTAGATAGGAACACTTTCCAAGTGCAGGCCAACCACTCCAGAGCCCACACCCCCAGCCACCACCTCTAGGGGGCGCTCACACCCCGGGCCATTCTCCACCTGCCCTCATCCCAGGAGACCAGGTGTCAGAAGATTAAGGACAGCTCCTGTCAGGCCCAGAGCTGGCTGAAATTATTCAAACTCAGCAATCCTCAGAGCATCCACGTCGGCTACTTAAGTGTCATGATTCTAGGCCTCAAGGACCCAGCGAAGAGCAAATCAGATGCGGTTGCTGCCTTTCCAAAGTCTAATTAGGGCCACAAACCTGAAACGAATCATCACACAAATAAACATCTTTACTAATAAAAGCATAATATGAGAATTAGACTTGACATCTTCCGGACAAAGCCACAGTGGTGGGGGCCAAGGCAGAGGCGGTTAGGGGCGATCAGGCTGGCAGGGGAGAGCAGTTAGGGGCGATCAGGCAGGCAGACAGAGGGGTTAGGGGCGATCAGGCAGGCAGGCAGGCAGGTGAGCGGTTAGGAGCCAGCGGTCCCAGATTGGAGAGGGTGCAGGCTGGGCTGAGGGACTGCCCCCCCCACCCCTGCACGAATTTCGTGCACCAGGCCTCTAGTATAATTAACCCTTTGCACTCTGCTGTCCCCTCTCAGGGGACATCGGAATTCTAGCATATCACTCGGATGTCCCCTCTCAGGGGACATTGCAGTTTATTAGTGATTACGGGGAATTGAGTTATTTCAATGCAACTTTTTGAGACATGCATGTTTCCCTGAAGTTTTATCTTGAAATGGCACAAGAAATTAAATCAAAATATCGTAAAATTACTAAGATATATACAAGAAATGTCAGCGGGTTTTGTGTCGGATTAAACAATAAACTACATATTCCCGATGTGGGACAAAGAAAACAGGACTGCATTGTGTGTTCTAACAGGAAAACACCTGGTGGCAGGCGTCAAACCACTTATTACTGTCAAACATGCACTAATCAGCCTGAAATGCATATTGGGGAGTGTTACAAAACTTATCATACTGTACAAAATTATAAACAATAAAATATTGGTTTTTTTTGCAAATATACATTCCTCGATGTCACCCAATTCATATAAGTCCAATATCATTATAATACGTTACTTGGTTCCAAAATTATACTAAATAATACGAGGGTCTGTAAATGCACGTTTCCGCCGCAAAGTAGCGTCGAGTAGCTGGTAGCCAATGTCCAGAATGGTTCGGAGTGCAAAGGGTTAAAAAGCTTGACAAAGTATCTGAGGGGGAAAATGACAGTACTGTGTGAGCAGAAGGGGGCAGGATGAACTTCTAAACGAAGACCCACAGCAAGAGCCAGGTGGAGAGCAGAGGAGAAGCGCTTTTAAGGAGCGAGAATAGCAGGGCGTGCAAAGGCCCTGGGGCAGGAGAGAGGATTGCAGCCTGGAGCCGAGAAGAAGCAGGGACGGGACAGTACCTCCGCTTCCACAGACATCTTAAGGGTTTTGGAATTCTTCCGAGAAGTAATGACCTATCTTTGAAGGGTTGTAAGCAGAGAGTCATCGAATGTAGTTAGTAAAAGACGGGGAGGACAAAAATGGGAAAAAGAGGGAGACGAGTGTGACGATGCGACGTGCCGGGCGGGGACTAGGACGGAGCAGCTACACAGCGGCAGAGCCAGGGTTTGAACCCTTGCAGCCCGGCTCCTGGCTCTCGCTGTGTGGGCTCAGGCGGGGCTGCTGGCTGGGGAGTCCCCGGCTGAGAGCCTGGAAAAGCCTGCTGCGGGGTGTCCTCTGGGTGGCCACTGTGTCCTCACTGGAGCGCCACCCAGGCCGCTCCGTCCTCACCTAAGGGGACCTAACCTAAACCCCTGGTTCCTTGCATTTTCAAAGCAAGATTTCACGATCCATGAAAAGACAGAGCTGTGGCCGCCAACGGGGGGACCAGTGGGGTGGCCTCTGATCTGCCCCTGACCGCCTGCGCCCCCCAGGAATGTTCTGAAGGAGTTTGACCTCTCACCTCCCACAACCTGCCAGGGACCAGATGGGACCCATTGCCAAAGCCTTTCAAAGCCCCTGGGCCACCCCGCCTAAGTCTCTCAGTCTTGGAGCCTGGCCAGGGGGCAGGCAGAGAGGCTCGGACAGGAAGGGAAGAGAGAGCAGCAAGTGGAATGGTTAGCATCACGCGCTTCCCACTCACTGGCGTGTGCACATCCTCGTAAGCTCACCTTGCAGCTAATTTGAAGGCTGTTTGTTTACGCTGCGTTTTCTTACTCATCTAATCACAGGCAGGGGAGGTTCTACAAGTTACGCAGCAATTCAAGAACTCGGAGGTCAGGAAATGGGGTGACAGGAGTGGGTGGGCCAGGGGAATGAGGGAACCCAGCTGGACGTCCGGGCCTTTGCACCTGGCGCAGGCTTCTGTCCTGCCCCCTTTGACACACCCACCCGCAAAGCCTGCCTCCGTAACATCTCCAGGACAGCTGGGCGTGTTCCCGTGTTATCTCCCCTAGCAGCTGGGACCCGCCCCAACTGTGAGCATGCCATGCCACTAATGACTAAGGGCTTAAATCTCCTGCCATCCTCGGCCCAGCCTCTGTCATGGTGATGGTGGAGGTGTGCAGACAGTCAGTGGGTGATGCTTGAAGCCTGGCGAGGCCTGGAATGCCCTCTAGGTGTTGGGGGGCGGGGATGGGGGCAGCGAAGAAGCAAAGACTTGGTGTTGGCTTCCCCCTTCCTTGGACCCGGGCAGGGAGGAGGCATTGCAGAGACCTGAGGCGTCTGACTTGGGAGGGGTGCATGGCGCACGCTACCACCCAGCAGGGCCTCCAGAATCAAGTCCCAGGTCCTCCTATTAAAAAAAAAAAAGCTTCAATAATATTTTTTTTAACTACAAAAATAGAATCTATACCAATAAAAGGGTAATGTGCTAATTAGAGCAGATAGACCGGACGTCCTGCCAGACAAAGCCATGGTGGCAGGGGCCGAGGCAGAGGCAGTTAGGAGTGATCAGGCCAGCAGGGGAGAGCAGTTAGAGGTGATCAGGCCGGCAGGCAGAGTTGGTTAGGGGCAATCAGGCAGGCAGGCAGAGGGGTTAGGGGCGATCAGGTAGGCAGGCAGGCAGGTGAGCAGTTAGGAGCCAGCGGTCCCGGATTGTGGGATTGGGCCTAAACCGGCAGTCAGACATCCCCCGAGGGGTCCCAGATTGGAGAGGGTGCAGGCCGGGCTGAGTGACACCCCCCCATCTTGCACGAATTTTGTGCACTGGGCCTCTAGTTCTAAATAAAATGTCAACACTTAGTCTTATGTTACAAGAAATTTAAAAGTGAAGCATTTCCATGCTTTACCTGCTGAGTTCTCAATCGGAGGGTGTCAGACCAAACCAGAGGGCAGAAGCCAGGAGAGGCCCAGGGGGCCGTGATGCAACCTGGCAGTCTGCACGTGGAGCGGGGGAGGGGGACTCCAGCAGGAAGCAGGGTGCAGACGGAGCATAACCGGCTGCAAGGAGAAACGTGATTCTGGATACCGAGTCTGCCTCTGGGCACCCCAAGTGCAGACAAGCAGGGGATGCTGTGGGCCCATTTCACAGACCAGTAGGCTGAGGCCCACAGAGGCAGACAGACAGCAACAAGATCAGTCAGAAACCTCCCTCCGTGTGCCCCCTTTTAGTACCAAGGACTTGAGGTCAGGTCGGGTGCCACACAACCTCTCATGGCCTAGGACAGGGGTGGGCAAACTTTTTGACTCGAGGGCCACAATGGGTTCTTAAACTGGACCGGAGGCCGGAACAAAAGCATGGATGGAGTGTTTGTGTGAACTAATATAAATTCAAAGTAAACATCATTACATAAAAGGGTACAGTCTTTTTTTTTTTTTTTTAGTTTTATTCATTTCAAACGGGCGGATCCGGCCCGTGGGCCGTAGTTTGCCCACGGCTGGCCTAGGCTGTCACCTTGGCATGACATCACACGGATAAGACTTTGTACAGCGCCACCCACATCACAGACACGACTTTTTAGCCGGACGGGTTACAGTGGCCACAGTGTCAGGCGGGTTGAAACGTCATTTCCACCACGACGAGACCTCAAAAAACACTGTGATGATCTCACTCATTTATGGATAATTAAGACCATTATAAACTGATGAACAAATATAGATACAGAGGGAGAGGAGCATCGAACAGACAGTCAAACTACAGCGGGAAGGTTTGGGAGGGTTGGGGGGTAAGAGATCAACCTAAGGACTTGTACGCATGCAGATAAACATAACCAGTGGACACAGGACACTGGGGGGTAGGGAAGGTCAAGGGGAGAAAAGAAAAGGAGACATATAGAATACTCTGTAATATTTTAAGCAATAAAACAAAAATTTAAAAAGAAAAAAACAAAACGCTGTGATAGCCAATGGGGTTGAAAGTCGCTTCCGGCCCAGCCATTTCTCAGGGGAGTTCGAGCCCCGTACACCAAGGTGGTGGGTCTGATCCCCAGTCAGGGCACCTGCAGGAATCAAGGAATAAATGCATCAATGTGTGCAACAACAAATCGATGCTTCTCTCTCTAAAAACATAATAAATACGTAAAACGGCGTCATTTCAGATGCAACAACCTGGCGGCCAATTCTAGGTCAACTGGGGTTAAATGTCATTTCCATCGTCAGGAAGGTCAACGGGACGGTGCGGTCGCACTCAAATAAACGTCATTCCCGGCTCAGCGAAAAGTGGCGCTTTGACAGACGTCATATCCGTCGCAGGGGAGGTCAGAATGGCAGGTGAACGGTTTAGGCACCATCACTTCCGTCGCGAAGAAGGTCCGATGTGTGTGAGTCGCGTTCCAAAAGCGTCATTTCCGGCGCGACGAAAGGTCGAAGACTCGGGTCGCGCTCCAAAAGCGTCATTTCCGGCGCAAGGAAGGTCCTAACGGCTGCGCTGTCGATGGGTTGCGACGTCAAAATGGCTGCGAATCAGCCTGGGGTTCACATCCCTTCCGCAGCCAACACAGGTCCAGCTGAAACGTCACGCTGCCTGCCACCCTCCAAAGCGGATTTATACGTCTCTTCTGCTGCGTCTGAACGTCACGCCTGCTTGCAGCATGACGTCATTAGCTACGTCATTTGGCAGCGACCGTGCATCCCTCCGAGGTTTGGTCACGCTGGCCTCAGCGTTGCCCGGGCTTAAAAGTCGCCTTGGCCGCGAGCTCTCGGGGCTTGGCGGTCGTTTCCGCCGCGACGTGATGTCGGGGCAGGGCCACATCCGCGGGCATTCCTGTCCCTGCAGCGGGGACCAGACCTCACCGGGGCCGGGGGGATAGGACAGGAGCCCCTCGCTGGATGGGACGGCGGTGGTGTAGGCGGTCCATCCCTGAGCCGACTTCCTCCTGCAGGTATGGAATCCCTTTATTTTATAATTTTTTAAAAAAATATTGTATCGCAAATCAGCGAGCTGGACAAGACACCTTCATGAGCCGATTAGTTAGGAGTCATCTTTACTGCGCGCAGGTTCAGAGCAGATGACCTCCGTCAAATTCTGAACGCCCAGAGGAGGGAGCATTCTCTCTTTATATTCTTTTCAGGTCCTTGTGTCAGTTATTTTATTTAAATTTATTGTATTGATTTTTTTACAGAGAGGAAGGGAGAGGGATAGAGAGATAGAAACCTGGATGAGAGAGAAACATCGATCAGCTGCCTCCTGCACGCCCCCTACTGAGGATGTGCCTGCAACCAAGGTACATGCCCTTGACCAGAATCCAACCTGGGACCCTTCAGTCCGCAGGCCGACGCTCTATCCACTGAACCACACTGGTCAGGTTTACCCGACTTTTTAAAGTAGGCAGATGACTTGATAAGGAAGTCCATCAAAAAGCACATATAGCCCAGCCGGCGGGGCTCAATGGTTGAGCGTCGACCCACGAACCAGGAGGTCAGGGTTCGATTCCCGGTCAGGGCACAGGCCCAGGTTGCAGGCTCGATTCCCAGTGTGGGGCATGCAGGAGGTGGCCGGTCCATGATTCTCTCTCATCATTGATGTCTGTCTCTCTCTCTCCCTCTCCCTTCCTCTCTGAAATCAATAAAAAAAATATTTTTTAAAAAGCACATACGACTGACCAGTTAACATTATCAACAGGAAAAAACTCTGTATTTTCTTTCCAAAACCCCAGTTCTTCCCCACTGGACCTTAGTCAGGGCTGAGCATGGCTCCCCTGGTTACAGAAACATTGAGAACTTGGAGGAGGGTCCTGACCGGCCTCCATCACTGTCGTCCTCTCTCCCACGGCATCACCTGTTCCTGGAATGCTCCTCCTCGGGTGCAAGTGTGACTGGGGCAAAGCCTTCGCCTCCTCTCTGTTGTCCCCTGGATAAGATCTCCTCCCATTAGCATGGCATTAGACCTTTTATGATCTGGCCTCTGACCACCCCCAGCCTCTCTTCCTCTGGTGGTTGGGTTCTGGTTTATATGGAAATAGCAGTCTGTCCATGCCCTCCCTTCCCTCCCATTCCTCTATCAGCGCTTCTTCCTCAGCCTGACAAACTCCTACTCGTACTGCAACGCCCTTGTGCCATCAGGGAACGCATCCTGTGTCCCCCACCGTCCGAGCTCTTGCTACGTGGGTTTGCAAGAGGCGTGGGCGTGGCTGCCTCCTTCATTAGACGGTGGGCAAGAAGGAGGCTACATCTTCCCTCCTGAACCCCCAGTGCCCAGGAAAGGACTGTCCCACACGAGGGATTCCTTCAAACTGGAAGAATTTTACTGCCGATGCAACAGCTGGGGCAGGTCAGGCTTGCCGGCGTGTCCCGGGGAGGAGCCGCTGTGGCCACTTCCGGGGGCCCCGGGGTTCTCGGGCTGGGCCAGACCTTTGCTGGTGGTGCCTGGAGAGCTTTGCACCCCGACCTGAAGGCCTGGGCGAAAGGGCCTCCTGGTTTGCAAGGGCGGCTGGGCCTGTGCTGCGGTTCCACTTGTGAACACGAGGTGGCGCTCTGTGGCGGCCTATTGAGCGGGCCTTGGGCGCTCAGCTGGCCCAGCAGCACCAGCCTCCAGAACCCAGAGTAAATGAGCTGGTACCTGAGTTGTTGATGGTGAACGGGGCTGAGAGATGCCTGCGTCTGTTTATTCCTGTCCATACGCGAATGTAGGACGAACCTACACATGGCGCTTGATGGATGTATCTTGGGGTCCCCCGGTCCTGGGTTCTGTTCCTGGCTCTGCTGGTTCTAGGAATGGACCCGTCTCGTTCTGGGCATCAGGTCCCAGCCCTGCGGAGCAGAGTTAAGACTTTGGGGGCTTTGCCCTGGCTGGTGTAGCTCAGTGGGTAGAGCGTCGGCCTGCGGACTGAAGGGTCCCAGGTTCGATTCCCCATCAGGGCACAGGCCTGGGTTGCAGGCTGGATCCCCAGTGGGGGGCGTGCAGGAGGCAGCCGATCCATGATTCTCTCTCATCATGGATGTTTCTCTCTCTCTCTCTTCCTCTCTCTTCCTCTCTGACATCAATAAAAATATATTAAAAAAAAAAGACTTTGGCGGCTTTAAATGAAGGGAGTTGCCGGCATCATTCCTGCCACCTCCAAGATGCCCCATAGTATTCACTTTCCCTTTTGAAATCCTTGTGTTGGGGTCTCTGCCTCCTCGCCCGCCCCTGCTCCTTGTGCTGTTTAACAATAGCTTTTCCGTCTGTCCATCTCGTTGCTCCTGACTCCGGGCTGGGGACCCCTGAGGACAGGGCGGGTCTGGTTTTCTCTGCCCTCTGAGCCCAGCCCCGAGCCTTCTGGGTAAACACTCAACAGAAGGGTGACGCCTGAGGCCGCCTCCTCCCCCACCTCCACCCGGGACTCGAACCAAGTCCTTCAGGTCTGAGTTCTCAGCTGCCCCTGCCTCAGACACACGGTTGGAAAAATGCGGTAAAACCTGAAACGTCCTGGTGCCCTCGGGGTCCCCATAGGCCTGCCTGCCTGCCCAGCGCCTGGAGGGGCCCGGAGGGGCCGCCTGGCTGCCGTCCAGTCTGTAGGAAGGTGGCCTCCAGGGCTGCCATGGCCGAGGAAGGGGCCCCTCAAATCCACCCAGGATCCCCTGTGTCCCGGGCAGCCAGGGGCCGGCCACCGGCTTGGCGGGCAGGACACGGACAGAAAGGGCGGGTGGGGGCTGGGCTGGCTCTCCCTCTGGGGGGGGGGGTCTGTTTGAGTCCCAGGCAGGGAAGGGGCGCGTTCCCATAACAACACCCAAACCTGTGAACAATCTTTATGAGTTTGTTTGAGCCAAACTGCCCACAATCGCCAGGAAGCGGGATCTCAGCCGATTGGGAGAATGCTCCGGAGAAGGGCTGTTTGTTGCCTATTTTCACACGTTGCAATCGAAGGAGGGACGGAGGTGGGTGACATGAAACCCACCGGGGATGGGTCAGGGGGGCGGGAGCAAGCGAAGCGGGGAGCCCCTGGGATTGGCTAACAAGTAAGATGATGGACACCTGCCCCTTCCTTAAAGTGCAGGAGTTAACAGGCAGCAGTGAGCTCAGGACAAGGAGGGGTCTGTGGTCCCCGCAGAGCGGTGCCTGGGCTGTGAGGCCGGGAAAAGGGAATGACCGTGACCTTCCAGCGACATGTGGTCACAGACGCAGAGACCACAGACAGGCTCAGCGGAGGTTGGGGCTGACGGGTCAGGGAAGATGCCTGCCGAGGCCGGGACTCCCCACTGCAGCTGCTTCTAGTTCAAGGTCAATGTCAGACCGTCCTGGGCGGCCGCCTGAGGCCTCTGAGTTCGCAAGGCCTCCCCTGAGCCGGTCAGCTCAGCGCGTGGCCCCCTTTTATCCAACGGAGTGACCCCCAGCCCCCTGTGGCTGAGGGGGGACCTGAGCAGTGAGCGCGAAGGGAGGTGGGAGGTGAGGGCTGGTGCCGGGCCCTGAGGCCCTCACTCACCTTCCACCCGCCCAGAGCCCCGCAGACACAGCCCCCAGTGACACAGGGGGGTCCCCGACCTTCAACCTTCAATCCTCCAGGTTCCTATAGAGCAGGGGTCCTCAAACTTTTAAACAGGGGGCCAGTTCACTGTCCCTCAGACCGTTGGAGGGCCGGACTATAGTTTAAAAAAAAACTATGAACAAATTCCTATGCACACTGCACATACCTTATTTTGAAGTAAAAAAACAAAACGGGAACAAATACAATATTTGTATTTGCATGTGGCCCGCGGGCCGTAGTTTGAGGACCCCTGGTGTAGAGACTCAGCTCCAGTGGGAGGGGCTGTGCCCCGGGAGGGCGGGGGGCGGGGGAGGAGGACGCCCTGACTTAACAAGGATGTGCGTGTCCCCCTGCCTGTGACTTTTCCCTTTACACACGTGACAGTTCAAATCCCTGGAGAGATGGGACGTGGGGGTAGAAGATTCTGGGAAACGCCCCCCGTTTTCTAAGCTGGGGTGGGGCTCGGATCAGGAAGCTTTCGCTTCTCTAACCGAGTTCCTAGAACACAGAAGATACCCCTGGGGTGGCAGCGTTGCCAAGTGCCAGACGGGTCACAGAGACACTGATTCAACGGCGCTTCTGTTTCTTTTCTTTTAAATATAGAAATTGCTTTCAGAGAGGACGGGAGAGGGAATGAGAGAGAGAAACATCCGTGATAAGAGAGAATCTCGGATCGGCTGCCCCCTGCACGCCCCCCACTGGGGATGGAGCTCCCAACCCGGGCATGTGCCCTGACCGGGAATCGAACCCTGACCTCCTGGTTCATTGGTTGACGCTCAACCCCTGAGCCACGCCAGCCGGGCATGTGTTGTTAATCTTGAAGACACACATTACAACCACGATGAGCTGTCACCACACGTCCACCTCAGGACGGCTAAGTCAAACGGACCGACAACGCCACGTGTGGGCGGGATGTGGAGCGCTCGGGCCTCCTGGGCGTCGGTCGGAGCACAGAATGGCGAGATGGCTTTGGCATGCGGCCCGGCAGCTTCTGACGAAGTGAAGCTGATCTTTCCCAAAACAGACACAACAAAACAAAACAAAAACAGGTCATGTATCGCTGAGCCGGAAATTCCACTCCTGGCCATTTACCCAAGATAACCTGGGAACGTGCCCTCACGGAGACAGGGGCAGAGGCCGGGAGAGCCAGCTCCTTGTCAACAGACTCGACTTAGGTGCGGCCCAGCAGGCCAGCTCCTAGGGCAGCGCCTGCGAGGAATGAACGCCTTGTTCCCTGAAAAGCCTCCATGCAAGTGGTCGGAGCAGCTGGAGCCACCGTAGCCCCAGCTGTCGGCAGCATCGATGTCCACTGTCAGGAGAGACACTGAACCGGTGTGGCGTCCTCGCCAGAGACCGTTGCTCTGTTATTGGAAGGAACAGACCAGCCCCGGCCGGTGTGGCTCAGTGGGTAGAGGTCCAGCTGGCTAGATTCCCGTCAA